ACTATAAGAGGCGGTGCCGCCCGCCGTGGCTGCCTCAGCCCACCAGCTGGGACCGCGAGCCATGCAGCCGGTCGCCCGCCCCCAGGGCTGTTAGAGCCAGACTGCGAACTCTCGCCACTGCCGCCACCGCCGCGTCCCGTCCCATCGCCGCGGGCAGCAGCCAAAGCCGCCCCAACTGCAGCACAGAGCGGGCAAGGCCGGGCAGGCCATGGGGCACTGGGCGCTGCTGCCCGGCTGGGTTTCCGCTACGCTGTTGCTGGCGCTGGCCGCTCTCCCTGCAGCCCTGGCCGCCAACAGCAGTGGCCGATGGTGGTAAGTGAGCTGGTGCGGGGTCGCCACTTGTCTCGGGGCACAGAGCCAGGGGCCAGCCCCATCCAGCTCCCACGCTCTGGGATCCGTCCGCAGACCGGCTCCCTCCAGCGCTCTGACTTCCCTCTGAGACACCGAGGGGCGCTCTGGAGCGGAGCTGCTCCAGAGAATCCAGCTCTGCTAAAGTGGGGTGAATGGAGTGCCTGGTGGCCCATTATACTCCAGGCAGGGAGCCCACTTCCATTTAGCACCGCCCTTCTTCCTTGAGCCCCAAACCGAGCCTCACGGTGGTAGCCACACCACAAGTCTCCCAGACTCGGCTAGCGGGTAGCGAAGGGCCAGGCATGAACTCAGAAAGGAGACAAGAAGAGGGTGGGACCCCTAAGCATTTCACGCCTTGGGTGGGCATGCACTGTAGGCCAGGGTTTCCTAGCCCAGGCTGCTGGGAAGCAGGCTCTGAGAACCAAGGTGAACGTCTAGTCACCGGGTTCCCCATGCCTCCGCTGTCCAGTCCCAGGCGCAGGATCCCGAGCAGCCCTAAGACTCCTGGGCACATAAAAGTCTGGACTCCCAGTCCTTTCAAACTAGTGAGCCCGGGAGCGCGGAGTCATTACCTTACTATTGATCTCCCATCTCTCTTTCTCGGGCCAATAGCCCCAGGAAGAGGACAGGGTGGGCATGACGTTTCTGGTTAGGGTGCACGTCTCCTTCCAGAGCTTGAGCTCCTATCATGCGTCTCACCAGGGGCATCGTGAACGTAGCCTCCTCCACGAACCTGCTGACCGATTCCAAGAGCCTGCAACTGGTACTCGAGCCCAGCCTGCAGCTGCTCAGCCGCAAACAGCGGCGGCTGATCCGCCAGAACCCTGGGATCCTGCACAGTGTGAGCGGGGGGCTGCAGAGCGCTGTGCGAGAGTGCAAGTGGCAGTTCCGGAACCGCCGCTGGAACTGTCCCACGGCTTCAGGGCCCCACCTCTTCGGCAAAATCGTCAACCGAGGTGGGTACCCAGGAAGGCAACGCTTCCGGCATCAGGGGAACGCAGGGTCACCCCCAGGGCAGGGGCGGGCAAGTGCAGGGAAGATGTCCTGGGCGTCTGCAAAGTCACACGATCCACCCGCCAATAGCTTCATGCCAGTGCCAGCTCTGGGCCAGACTCGTTCTACCAGGCGCTTTCAAACCGTGAACTTCGGGCACGAAACTTAAGTTTTATGAGCCACTGCGCCAGAGAGAGTTCTGAGTCGTGGACGCTGGCTGGCTATCGCTCTCCCCTTCAGTCCCTCTCAAAGGCGCCTGGGAAGCTGCTCTCTGTGGGCGTGCGTCTTGCCTCCAGCCCAGCAAGGCTTGCATCGCTGACATGGGCAGAAAGTTTGGGCTACGGAAAGGTCTTGGCGGTGCAGAACTCTTCTGCTCCCCTCTTTTCGGTTCTTCTCTCTGGGGCTGCCTCACTTTCACTGAGGAGCCAAAATGCGCCCTGAGTCTCAGTAACGCGTGATTACAAGCGTGGACGTGCCTACATGCCCACGCACGTGCTTTCTCCGTGAGAACAGCTTCGCACACCGCGGGCCGCCGGGCTTTCGGGACTCCAAGGGCGGAGTCAGGACAGAGGACTCAAGGGTTCCAAGCTCACCACTGAAGGTGCGGGTTGCACCCCGCTTGCTCCCTTGCTGATCCCCGCTTCCTTCCCCAACAGGCTGTCGGGAAACTGCATTTATCTTCGCCATCACCTCAGCCGGGGTCACCCATTCGGTGGCGCGCTCCTGCTCGGAGGGCTCCATCGAGTCCTGCACGTGCGACTACCGGCGGCGCGGCCCGGGGGGTCCCGATTGGCACTGGGGGGGCTGCAGTGACAACATTGACTTCGGCCGCCTCTTTGGCAGGGAGTTTGTGGACTCCGGGGAGAAGGGGCGGGACCTGCGCTTCCTCATGAACCTTCACAACAACGAGGCGGGCCGCACGGTGAGCGGGCTTGAGGGTCTCTGCACCCGAAGCAAAGAGTGGCAGGGATCTCGGGGTCCCTGCGCAGGGGCTAACCTCGAACTTGGGAAGTAATGACTGGTGATAAGACCAAGGGTTAGGGTAAGGAACCAGGCGAGGGTATCCGGAGGCAGAGGAGGCTTGGAAGGAAGCCAGAGAATAGAAGAGATACTGGCTGACAAGGAAGAGCTTAGGAGTCAGGCAACTCGTGGAATGTATTGCCCACAGCTCCTCCATTGTACAGATTCAAAACATAAAGCTGAGAGGCCGAGACAGATTTTCTCGGTGGAGCAGAGTTGGGCCTGATGTCCAAATCTCTGCGGGACATTGCGTGCCTCCCTTCCCTTGGGCTCGCCCAGGCTTGGGCCTTTGCTAAGGTCTCGGCGGTGTCCTAGAGGGGGCGGTATCTGGGATAGTGGCTGCGGCTCTGACAGTGCCTTGGAACACCATTCTTTCTCCTTTCCCCCAGACGGTGTTCTCTGAGATGCGCCAGGAGTGTAAGTGCCACGGCATGTCCGGCTCGTGCACGGTGCGCACGTGCTGGATGCGGCTGCCCACACTGCGCGCCGTGGGGGACGTGCTGCGCGACCGCTTCGATGGCGCCTCGCGCGTCCTCTACGGCAACCGCGGCAGCAACCGCGCCTCGCGGGCTGAACTGCTGCGCCTCGAGCCGGAAGACCCAGCGCACAAGCCGCCCTCCCCTCACGACCTCGTCTACTTTGAGAAATCGCCCAACTTCTGCACATACAGCGGACGCCTGGGTACAGCGGGCACGGCGGGGCGCGCCTGCAACAGCTCGTCGCCCGCGCTGGACGGCTGCGAGCTGCTCTGCTGTGGCCGGGGCCACCGCACGCGCACGCAGCGCGTCACGGAGCGCTGCAACTGCACCTTCCACTGGTGCTGCCACGTCAGCTGCCGCAACTGCACGCACACGCGTGTCCTGCACGAGTGCCTGTGAGGCGCTGCGCGGGCTCGCCCGGAGGAGGGTTCTCCTCAAGCCCACCCCCGAACAGATTCGCTGGCACCTGAGACCCTGATCTGCGCCCACCCAGTCCCTCCAGCCACACTCCGCAATTTATTCGTACCCAATCTTTTCTCCCACCTCCTCCTACCCGGGGACTCCTGAAACCACTTGCCTGGGGCGGCATGAACCCTCTGGCCATCCTGATTGACCTGCCCCGGACCTACCTCCCTCCCTCTCCGCGGGAGACCCCTTGTTGCACTGCCCTCTGCTTGGCCAGGAGGTGAGAGAAAGATTCGTCCCCTCCCCCATCAGGGTCAGCTCCTAACATGTTGCTCCGCTTCCACCGCGCCAGCGACCCCCCTGCCTCTCTCCCTCTCCTTTATCCTCCGTTTCCTCCAGGTCTCATTCTCCTGCCAAGGGTGCAGACCCTGAACACACACCTGGGCATCAGGGCCTTTCTCCTCCCCACCTACAGCTGAAGAGGGAGGTTCCAGGGTGAAAGCGCAGCTGTGGTGATGTGGAAAATGAGGTTGGGGGACCCAACAGAAATATCCCCATTCTCCCAGCCTCTGTCGTGGAGCCATTGAACAGCTGTGAGCCATGCCTCCCTCGGCAACCTCCTACCCCTTCCTGTCCTGCCTCCTCATCAGTGTGTAAATAATTTGCACTGAAACGTGGATACAAAGCCACGAGTTTGGTTGTTGTAAATAAAACTATTTATTGTGCTGGGTTCCAGCCTGGTTTGCAGAGACCACTTCCACCCCAACCCAATCCCTTGCCATTCTTCTCTCCTTCTGCCCTCCAGCCTTTTCTGACCCCTCTTCTCCTCTCCTCAATTTCTCAAAGATGCCTTTGCCTACCGGAATCAGTATTTCCTTCCACTGTAGCTATTAGTGGCTCCCCGCCCCCACCAACGTAGTATCTTCCTTTGCAGAATAAAATCTCTATTTTTATCAATGACTTGGTGGCTTTTCCTTGAATCCAGAACACACCATTGCTTACCTCCTTTAAACAGATAGGATACATTGTTGGGGGACTGATTTCCTGGCCCTAGAAGAGGATTCTGAGCTTCTGTCCCTTGGATGACCCTAATGAGGCTACTGGAGAGCCAGGTCTCTAGAAGAAACTGCTCAGGAGCCAAAAGACCCTGCAGTGTTCTTCCTACTTGAAAACGAATCTGTGTGATATTGGGCAAGTCCATAACTGCCTCAGTTTCCTCCCCTGCTGAGTAGGGATTAAACAAACAATCTCTAAGCCTACCTTTCCTATGTGGAAGAGTTGTGAAAATAGCCACAATTGAGTGATAGCCGTGGTGTTCTGAAAAGAAACCAAAGAAGAAAGAGAAACTCAAACAGAAAGGATGCTGCTGCCCCCAATGTAGAGCTTTTAGTCCCTGAAGCCCATCTGGGCCAACTGTGGTCAGGGTGTTGGGCAGTGGGGAAGCCACTCCCCTCCCCAAGATAAGGAAACACCTTATTTGAATCTTCCAACCCTGGGCTCAGTAGAATCTGGGTAACAAGTGATGGGCCCCAAAGCTCAGAGATGAGGATGAGGGAGAAGAAAGGAGCAAGTGGGTTAGAATCCAATAGAGGCTAGACATAAACCAGTGTAAGCAAAGGAAACCCAAGTGTGATCCATAACCAAACCATGAAGCTAGCCATTGCCCTAAAGAGCCCGAATGAGGATACTTTTACTAACAACACCGATACCTTTGTGTGAATTTCACCAAAGTTGGGGCAGTACTAATCCTACCCACTGCCCTAAACGTACCTCTAACCCTAATCCTCTCCCTCTCCCTAAGTCTAGGTCTAACCTTAGCCTTAACCTAACTTTAGACAAACACTAACGGCTTCCTGAGCTCTAATGTCTGTCCCTAATCCTAACACTTCCCCCCAGGGGAGGACCCAAAGGGAAGGGGGAGCTGTGAAGCACTCCACCCCCAAGAGTCTCCCCAGGACTCTTTTGCTGCTGTTGCTGCCTCCCACCTCTCCCTGGCTGTGTGAACTCTGACCACTGTTGGCCTTTGGGATATGTATGGGGGTAGGGGAGTGGAGCCAGGAGCTGCTCAACTCTGCAAGGACATCCCTTTCCCTTTCTCTCTATCCACCAAGCTAGCACCAGCTCAGCTCTGATGGGCAGCTGAGGGGGTGGAAGAGAAATCTTATTGATCCTGGGTAGAAGGCACCTGACAAGCCTTGGGTTTCCAGTAAAGAACCCCCTGCAAAGAATGTCCAGTCTCTAAACCAACGAGTTATTAGATCCTCCAGCTCCCAAAGCAAGAAGTTAATGAGCTGCCAGAGGCAGGAGAAGGGGCTTGGGCCCCTGCTGGACAATACCCAGATTCGGGGAGAAGCAGAGGGTGGGGAGTGGAAGCGTTGGCAGATGTCCCCAACTACTCTCACCTAACTCCTAACTCTCTAGAATCCGTATCTGCTTTCAGGCCTGGAAGTTGGGGGTGGGCTCCAAGCTGAGCTGCACATAGGAGCTGGAAGAAGAGCAAGGGAAGCAGTGAATCCTGTTCTGGTCTGAACCAGCCTTTCAAAAAATCTATTGCTTTCTCAGCTTCCATTGCTTTGTCTATTCAACAGAGATAGTTGTTGATACTTAGTCCTCTTGTTCAGGAAAGTGATGAGGTTCAGATGAGATAATGTATGTGAAACCTCGGGTCATCTGAACGCTTGCTGACAGCTCTTCTGTGCCAGGCATATGCCAAATGCTGGGGATACAGTGATGAATGAGCCACAGAGCCTGCTTGGAAGAGTTTACAGTCTGGCCAGGGAATCAAGCACATTGACAGATATTGTTAGGGTAACAGGGGCAGTGCAGTGAAGGCTCAGTGAAGTGTAAAGCCCTCTGCACATGCGTGAGGTTTAAGGACATACTCCCATACTGAAGTCCTCAGGATGGAGGCCCTTCACTTTCAGGCACTGGGGCTTCGAGGGAAGGGGTAGGGAAGTGCAGAACAGGCTGGGCCCTCAAGGGGTCATGCTGTAATGAAACGAAAAAAGCCAGCAAAAGGGCCGTAAGATCTGTAAAGCACTACCTAGGAGCTAATTATTTTATTCTGATCATCTGTGCCATCCTCACACTGAACGGGTAAATTCTGGGAGGAGAGCAGCTGTGCCTAGAGCGAGGCCTCACAGAGGTCTCAGGGCCCGGGGCAGGCTGGTGCGGGGGTCACCATAGGACAGTGTTATCAGGAATGGGCCTGATGCCCCAGCCTTGCCCTATCCACCAGGCTATCCTCCCACCCACCTCTGATCCTCAGGTAGCATCTGAGACCGACAGGGACCCCAGACACACGGTTGGCCTCAGTAAGTGAGGGAGGCACTAGTCCTGAAATATCCTGGGGGGAGCGGAAAAGCTGAGAGGACTGGGCCTGCACAGTCCCCAGGGGGTCAGCAAGCCGGCACCACACACACCCTGCCACACGCACCCTGGAAAAACCCCGTCAGTGGGGCTGCAAATACCCCAGGGTCTAGCATCCCCCACCCCCCCACCTCAGGCTGGCTCAGTCCTCCTCTCCAGGCCAGAGGGAGAAAAATACAACTGAGGAGAAAATAGCTGTTTGGCTGGGTGTGAGCAGGAATTATGC